ATTCCCCTTGTCCGTACCAGTTCTAAGATGGTTGTTAGTGAGGGTAGGGTGATGAGGGTGGGTGGGAAGAGGGACGAAACGGACCCCAGGTCCTTCCCGAGGGAAAGTCCTAGGTTCCATAACATATCTCCGCCGCACTTAGCCTCACACCCTGAATCCTCCAACCCTTAGAGCCAATCCTTATCCCGAAGTTACGGATCTATTTTGCCGACTTCCCTTATCTACATTATTCTATCAACTAGAGGCTGTTAACCTTGGAGACCTGCTGCGGATATCAGTACGACTTGGCATGAAAGTAAATCCTTCCTGTGGATTTTCAAGGACCGTCGTAGGCGCACCGGACAATCAATAAATGATTGCTCTTCCAGCCATAAAACCCCATCTCTGGTTAATCCATCCAGGGTCATAAGCTGTTAGAAGAAAAAGAAAACTTCTTCCAGGGCCCACGCCGACGTCTCCACATTCAGTTACGTTACCGTGAAACTCCATATCCAAGTTCTGGAATATTAACCAGATTCCCTTTCCCTCGACCCTCTGAAAAATAGAGGAGTTAAATCAGGTTTAACTTAGAGGTTAGGATCGACTAACCCATGTTCATCTGCTGTTGACATGGAACCTTTCCCCACTTCAGTCTTCAAAGTTCTCATTTGAATATTTGCTACTACCACCAAGATCTGCACTAGAGGCAGTTCGACCCAGATTCACATCCAAGGCTTCGTCACTACCTCCACGCCTGCCTACTCCAAACAACAAGATATTGTTTGGGCGAAGTATAAGTAACACGCTTAAGCGCCATCCATTTTCAGGGCTAGTTCATTCGGCCGGTGAGTTGTTACACACTCCTTAGCGGATTCCGACTTCCATGGCCACCGTCCGGCTGTCTAGATGAACTAACACCTTTTGTGGTGTCTGATGAGCGTGTATTCTGGCACTTTAACTTCACGTTCGGTTCATCCCGCATCGCCAGTTCTGCTTACCAAAAATGGCCCACTAAAAGCTCTACATTCATGCCTACCTTTAATTAAAAAAGGAAGGCTTCTTACATATTTAAAGTTTGAGAATACGCTAAGGCTATTTCGCCCCGAGACGTCTAATCATTCGCTTTACCTCATAAAACTGTTTGTAACGAGCTTCTGCTATCCTGAGGGAAACTTCGGCAGGAACCAGCTACTAGATGGTTCGATTAGTCTTTCGCCCCTATACCCAGATTCGACGATCGATTTGCACGTCAGAACCGCTACGAGCCTCCACCAGAGTTTCCTCTGGCTTCACCCTATCCAGGTATAGTTCACCATCTTTCGGGTCCCAACAGCCATGCTTACTCACATCAGGGTTTAGGCCTTGATGTGGTCGGAGCTGCACCTTTTTGAGGGGTTCGCTCCTATTACTTTCATTGCGCGTTTGGGTTTTGAAGAACTCAAACACTCGCATAGACGTTAGACTCCTTGGTCCGTGTTTCAAGACGGGCGACTTGCAACCATTACGCCAGCATCCTAGGATGAATCCGCAGGCCTCGGGATGAGATGGAAGTTTTGGAAGAGGTCTATAATACTCGAGAGTTACATTTCCTTTTCTTTTTTCCTTCCCCTCGCCCCGATGCTGGCCCAACCAAAAGGTTGTGTCTGCTTGCAAGCCCTTCCCTTTCAACAATTTCACGTACTTTTTCACTCTCTTTTCAAAGTGCTTTTCATCTTTCCATCACTGTACTTGTTCGCTATCGGTCTCTCGCCAATATTTAGCTTTAGATGGAATTTACCACCCACTTAGAGCTGCATTCCCAAACAACTCGACTCTTTGGTGGTCAAAGAAAATAGAACAAAACGGATTCTTTACGGGGCTATCACCCTCCATGGCGCCATTTTCCAATGGACTTAAGAATGTTTGAACTAACTGAGACCACCTTCAAATTACAATTCCCGGAGGATTTCAAATTTGAGCTTTTGCCGCTTCACTCGCCGTTACTGAGGCAATCCCTGTTGGTTTCTTTTCCTCCGCTTATTGATATGCTTAAGTTCAGCGGGTAGTCTTACGAAGATGAGGAAGGATTGGAAGAATCTAAAACTTATTCTAGAGTCATTTGATATTTAGACCTGGAGTCAAGACCAAACCAAGAGGTTTGAGAGTAAATATCGCTCATCCACGCATGCCTTGAGGAATACCTTAAGGCGCAATGTGCGTTCAAAAATTCAATGATTCACGTCTGCAAGTCATATTACGTATCGCAATTCGCTGCGTTCTTCATCGATGCGAGAACCAAGAGATCCGTTGTTGAAAGTTTTTTTTTTTAAAAAGTTTGTTGAAAG